GTATGTCCTGTTCTCATACTCGGCCTTCCTGGCTGGAGTGCCGTGCAATGAGGGCTGCACTTCAGGCTGGCTAAAATGCCTGGTGAGGGGGTTGAGTGCAGTGGGTAAGGGTCGTAGTTTGCAGGGCTGGGTGGTGAAGATACAGGTGTTGGAGGCAGCTGGTGGCGATAAGAACCCGGATGTTGGGGAAAGTGGGTTGGAGGTGACATGGGGCACAAGGGAAAGAGTTTTGGGACAAGGACTGTGGGGGGGCGGGGAGCGCAGTAGTGCTAAATACAGCACAGGCTAAGTACAGTTCTACTGCCCTGTCCTCATACAATAAGCATAACAACATTTCATTACAAATCACTTGAATGCACAGGGGGTAACCCAACCCCAGCCAAAATCTATCACTTGGGCAACACAGCTCTGTTTGCTGGGTACCTAGGTAGATTAGGTGTGAATGGAAATACAATCTGGTCCTGAAGCCTTTCCCCCAGCCCCGAGCTCATCACTAGCTGTCAGGGAGAGCTCATTTAAACTTTGCTTACAAATCATCATTTGAAATTATTCGGTTGGCCAACATCACCGAAATGAATGCACTGACATTGTCATCAAAAACAGCCGCCGTATAAGGAAGCGAGTCTATGTTCATACTTTTCACATCGATTATACTTTTCAGATACATGTATTTTATCATACACCGTGTATGCTTTTAAAGTGTGTATTAATGTTTCAATTTCAAGTCAGTTTTCCAAACAATCACTACATTGGCAATACTGCATGTAACCAGTTCACAAAACTGGGGGAGAAAGGGGCTGTTGGGGAAATCCCAGGGAAGTGTACCTCCCCCCCCCCCCCCGACGGGAGATGTGGGGGGGGAAATCCCTGGGCTATGTTCTTCCCTGGTCAGTTAGATTGGAGAAGAATTTGTCCCATAATCCACAGTTGCAGTGTGAGAGAGACTTGCATCTATGTACCCTCTCCAATCGGATCGCAGTGTCAAAAGCTAATGGACGTGCTAAACCATTCCCACCCACCCCCACCGTTCAGTGGAGCAGAAGTCATGCATTGTTCTGTTTGTATTATTCCTCATTCACACACAGCATCTCTGTTCACCTCCCTCCTTGGGACTAGCTCCAGCCATGGGGAGGGCTCTGGGCTCTGCAGGTTTAGAAAGAGGCAGGGGTTTAACTCTAGAGCTGTGTGTTTGTCAGCAAGGCCCCCAGAGTGCACAGACCCTGCAAACTCCTATTGAGGGCGTAACAATTCCCCTCACCTTCCCAAATGTCTGCCTCTTCCAAGGGGACTCAGTGACTCTGTTCCCGTCCTCTTGGATTCCACATTCCTCCAGCACAGCACCGGGACATGGAATGTCCTTTGTGACAGACACTCTCTTAATCCTCCATGCACCCTGATCTGGTCTAATTTCACCCCCTGCGCAGGATTTCCCATTCCCAAACCTGAGCTGATCTCCCGCCTGGAACAAGGGGAAGAGCCATGGGTACCCGATCTCCAGGCCTGTGAGGAAAGAGAGATCCCGAGAGGCACCCACACAGGTGAGGACTGACAGAGAAACCATTTGGTGAATGAAGGAAAAAGTTGAGAATCCCCAAAAAGTGGTGTGAGCAAGGGCCCTCAGTTCTTCCTCATCTCAGCCAGGGCAGCACTGTAGTCAGCAGATATCGCTTACGGCTTTCCAGGCATCCTGTTAGCTGCAGGAGTTTCCTTCCCAACTTTCCTTCCCTGTGAGTGTTTGGGTGGGATGTGGAGGCAAAATCCAGTTGCTGATTCTTCACAAATTTAGTGTGTTCGGTTTTCCTTCTATGCTATTCCTCTTTCTCCCCAGCACAATGACTCTCATGTCTGGATTGTCTCTCTCCCAGCAGGCGCTGAGCGAGGGAGTGAGAACAAGGAGGGGAATCATCATGAGGAAGTTCCTGGGGAAGTGGATAAATCTATTATATGTGGGGGAGGACACAAGGATCCCACAGCCCAGCAGACAAATCTCAATGAAGAGAAACTCTATCAGTGCTTCGAAAGTGGGAAAGGATTCATTCTGAGATCACACCTTGTGACACATCAGAGAATCCACACAGGAGAGAAACCACATAAGTGCTTGAACTGTGGGAAAAGTTTCACACGGAGATCAGGCCTTGTTACACATCAGAGAGGCCACACAGGAGAGAGATCCCATAAGTGCTTGGCGTGTGGGAAAAGTTTCAGATACAGATCAGTTCTTGATTCACATCAGAGAATCCACACAGGAGAGAAACCCTATAAGTGCTTAGACTGTGGGAAAAGTTTCATACAGAGATCCACTCTTGTTTCACATCAGACAATCCATACAGGAGAGAAATCCCATAAATGCTTGAACTGTGGGAAAAGTTTCAAACGGAGATCAGGCCTTGTTAAACATGAGGCAATCCACACAGGAGAGAGACCGCATAAGTGCTTAGACTGTGGGAAAAGTTTCAGACACAGATCGTTCCTTACGAGGCATCAGAGAATCCACACAGGAGAGAGACCCCATAAGTGCTTGGACTGTGGGAAAAGTTTTATAGAGCGATCAGACCTCATTAAACATGGGAGAAACCACACGGGAGAGAAACCCCATAAGTGCTTGGACTGTGGGAAAAGTTTCATAGAGAGATCTGCTCTTCTTTCACATCAGACAATCCATACAGGAGAGAGACCTTATAAATGCCTCAACTGCGGGAATGGTTTCCGTTGGAAGTCAGTCCTTATAATACATCAGAGAATCCACACAGGAGAGAAACCCCATAAGTGCTTAGACTGTGGGAAAAGTTTCACACAGAAATCAGTCCTTGTTAAACATGGGAGAATCCACACGGGAGAGAAATCCCATAAGTGCTTGGACTGTGGGAAAAGTTTCATAGAGAGATCTGCTCTTGTTTCACATCAGACAATCCATACAGGAGAGAGACCCCATAAGTGCTTGAACTGTGGGAAAAGTTTCCGTTGGAAGTCAGTCCTTATAACACATCAGGCAATCCATACAGGAGAAAGACCCCATAAGTGCTTGGACTGTGGGAAAAGTTTCAGGTGGCAGTCAGGCCTTATTAAACATCAGAGAATCCATACAGGAGAGAGACCCCATAAGTGCTTGGACTATGGGAAGTTTCACACAGAGATCACACCTCATTAAACATAGGAGACTCCACACAGCATCTAAACTTCTGTGACCCGTGGCCAGAAAGGGGGAAGCAACTTGCAGGCTAATTGATCCAGATTCAACCTTTAGAGACATGCTTCATAAGTGTGTAAATGGTATTTAGGGCCATTCCATGTTGTATAGGCTTCAGCTTTGAAATGTAAACTTGTATTCCTAAAGAATTGGAGGAAGTCGTCTTTGTTTACCTATATCTTGTTAGAGGTTAACAATGTAACCAAACGGTTCCTCTCTAGGGCTGTATTCTCTTAATTTGGAGATCAAACAGAAATATTAACATTTAGATAAAACTTGGGTGTAATAATGTCATTGTCTGCGTGTCTCTTTAAAGTTTGTGGGAAACAGTCTATGAACTCCTTACTGGATAATCACCTTATGTTAATCCATGTCGTTAATTGCCGGTGATGTTTAGGAAATACAAGGTTACTTCAAAAGCCTATTGTTCACCGAGAGGCTGCAAAAATCTGTATTAAAAACTCTTGGGACCTGATCCTTTTCTCTCAGATCTTCTTACGCTTTATTCGGGGGGAGTTTGAGTCGTAAGACTGAGATCTCCAGTCTCCTCTGGACTGCCCTGATATCGAACATTTGGACATTAGACTAGAACCTGATTAAATGATTCTAAAAAGGACTCCTCAATTCAATTCTAAAGCACCATCTCTGCGGTGAAACTGACCTAAGCACTCTATTAATGTCTGTATGTATAATGATCTTTTAACCAATACTCTCTCTTTTCTGCTTTTAATAAATTTGACTTTAGTTAATAAGAATTGGCTGTAAGCGTGTATTTGGGTAAGAACCGAAGTATTCATTAAGTTCTTGGGTAATGTATCCAATCCTTTGGGATTGGTAGAACTTTTTAGATGATGAACAAGATTTTCAGTAATCCTCATTATATTTAACGGGGCTGTCTGGGAGGGAGCCCAAGGCTGGGTTGCTTTAAGGCAGGCAGTGCGGGGGCCAAATCTGACAGCCAGATGCTTTTGAACGGAGCCCTGAAATTTTTTTATTTATCTATTATCATCATTGCTGTTGGGTTTTTTATTATAATTTTCTCTGGACCTTGTCTATACCTTGACAAAGAAATTTTGACCTTGACCAAAATAGACTTGACTACCTGTGCTTTAATAGAACTGTGTTTTGGCTTCTGGGTAACCAGTAAGATGGGCATAGAAGGTGTTTTGTTGCTGGCTTGGTGAATCTAAGTATTGGAATATCCACCAGCTTGGGGGATTGTCTGCCCCATTCTTTGCAGTTTGTCCTAACTGATCAAGTTCAGCACTGGGTTCTGGGGAGGACACTGGGCATTGAATGGTTGGGGCTGGTGGAGCTGGGAAGCCGGGGGAGCTGGGTGCTGGGGTATTGAGTGTTTGGGGATCATGGGATAAGAGGCGAGGGAGAGCACAGGGGTAGAGACGTGCTGCCTCTCCTCACTCATCCCCCTCTGCCCCTTCTCCCTGTCCCCTCTGCATTCAGACAGCGCCACTGAGAGGGACTGATAACCACGGGACCCTTTGTGGGAGGCCTGGAGATCCCACCTTTGCCTTCGAGCGTCTGTCTATGCTAGGAGGTGTGGTCGGGATTAGCCAGCGCATCTCTGTGACCTCTGCCAGGTTTCCTAGCGTAAACTGTCCCTGAGCGTCTACGTGTAAGGCTAAGATTTTGTCATGGGGCGGTGAGTTATATGAGCCCTTGGTGCCCACGCTCCAGCAATATTCAGGGCCCGGGGCCCAGATCCACCAATGTTTGGGGCCAGGTCTCTCCCCTGGCCCCACCTGCCGCCCCCCCCCCCGAGTGTCCCTCGGCCCCCACTTGCTGCCCCCACGTGCCTCCCCTGGGCCCCCGAGCGTCCCTGCCTCTCCCCTGCAGCTCCAAGCTCCATGCTGACTCTGCGTTGCCGCAGGGTCCTAGTGCCCCCCACCATGAGCGGCAGGGCAGGCTGCCCTGCCCCTGCCCTTCTGCCTCGGACCCTTCTGTTTTCTGGCGGGTCCCTTCACCAGCACAGGGGCCCCCGCTGCCCCCAGTCACCTCTCCTGCCCCACGCTGGGCAAGGGGCAGCCCCATCCCCCACCCCCAGTGAGGCTACGGTGAGGGGCAGCGGCAGGGGAGGAGGCCACACGTGATGGCAGCCCCCCCCCGACACCCACCACAGGGGAGGTGAGGGGGCTTCCTGGACCTGAGGGGCCCTAGGAGCACGTGCAGTGACAGTGGTGTGAGGTGAGTGTGCTGCAGGGGGGAAGATGGGGGTCCTTCCCCCGGAGCTCACTGCTGCCAGGGGGCAGAGGGCTGGGGGAGTCCTCCTCTCTGGCCCCAGCCCTGGGGCAGCCTGCCTGCACCCCAAACTCATCCTCAGCCCTGCCCCACCCCAGAGCCCACACCCCAGCCAGAGCCCTCACCCCCCCGCACCCCAA